TTTTCTTTCCTTTCCTTTCCTTTCCTTTCCTTTCCTTTCCTTTCCTTTCCTTTCCTTTCCTTTCCTTTCCTTTCCTTTCCTTTCCTTTCCTTTCCTTTTCTTCTTCTTCTTCTTCTTCTTCTTCTTCTTCTTCTTCTTCTTCTTCTTCTTCTTCTTCTTCTTCTTCTCCTTTTTTTTTTTGAATGAGTTACCTGAGATCCAAAGCCTTTGGAGTAAATAACAGAGCTGGGATTGAAGCTGAAACACCCAGATCTAAGGTTGGTGCTCTGGGCCACAGACTCCACTCTTCCTAAAGCCCCTTGGTATCTGTCTGCTGTCAGTTCTGACCAGCCTCCTGCAAAAAACACAAGCAGCAGCACCTCATCTAGCGCTGCAGGTCGAATAGGAACCCGAGCAGACCGGAAGTGCTTCAAGAAGCTAACATGCTGGCATACATGAGTCAGTACCAAGACTTTGCAGAGAGTCTCACAGGATCAAACGATTCATCACTGCAAGCACGAACAGAGATGCCATATAAAATACATGACGCCCAGTTAACTTTGATTTCCCGACAAACCACTAATACTTTCTTAATGCCAGCCAACCCAAAATATCACATGGCATATTGGTATGGTTAAGCAAATTCTTTGTCTTTTACCTGAAATTGAAAGTTAACTTAGTCAGGGTTTTCTATTGCCGCCATGAAATACCATAATCATAAATCAAGTTGAGGAGGAAAGGGTTTATTTGGCTTATATTTCCAAATCACTGTTCATCATTGAAGGAAGCCAGGACAGTAACTCAAACAGGGCAGGAACCTGGAGACAAGAGCAGATGCAGAGGCCATGGAGGAGTGCTGCTTACTGGCTTGCTCCCCATGTCTTGGTCAACTGGCATTCTTATAGAACCCAGGACCACCAGCCCAGAAATAGTACCACCCACAATGAGCCGAGACTCCTCCATCAATCACTAATTAAGAAAATGTTTTATAGTCTGACTACAACCTGATCTTCGGAAGGCATTTCTTAATTGAGGTTCCCGCCTCTCAGATGACTTTGGCATCTCTCAAGTTGACATAAAACTATCCAGCACATTAACTGAGTGTTTTGTTTATATTTTCTCAGTGTGGTGGTCCTAAGTAGTGGCCTGACCATCTATCTGTCTTGCTTGGGACATTCCTCCTCCCCTGCTTAACTCTCATCCAGCTCTGGCATCATGTACACAGTGAAGACCTCAGACATAAGCCTTTGTTTCATCCCAGTTTTCTTGAAATTCCAGGCTGTAACCCAGCTGGGCAAGGGCTTTGCCAGGCAAACAAGGTACCTATCTTGTCACAGCTTTCCCATAGATAGACACCATTTCCCTCATTGTAAAACCCAAATCCCAGTCAATGAGCCTGAGGTTCAGGAAGGTAAATCCATTACCAAGACTCTCATTCGCAGCTTACGCTCCTCTAGTTTCTTTCTATGAAAGAGCTTTCCAGGTTCCCCTTGAGAGACATTTAAGCATTATTAGAATGGCATTAATTAGTTTAGACCATCATTGGCTCATTTAATAACCACCTCCATTTGTTGGAAGAAACTCCCAGCTTTGCCGTCAAAAGGATACTGCGACATATGGACTGAGAGAAGCGGTCTCCAGGCAGGATAACATCAAGATGCTTGCTATCTCCTGCTTTCCTGTAGTTGAGAGCATCAGAATTAAAGCAGAAAGCTCTCAACCTCCGATCTTTACAATAAACATGAAATGCACTATCATCTCTATGCAGAACTCATATCATGTCCGTTCCACACGTGGTGACTGATAGCAAAGACATCAATCCAGAAGGCTCGAGGTGTAGGTACCCTGCACTCGGCATAGCCATTGAACTTTCTCACAGGTTAGCTTCCTAGAAGCCGAACTGCTATAGACTACCAGTTGAGAGGAAAATGGCAAGCATTAGAAAAAGCCTGTGCCAGAGCATCAGTGGACGCACACAGGACTGAAAGCGCATCCTAAAGAGGGTCAGACCTCACCCGAAAAGAAGCCTAAATGGAGAAAGAAAGTCATGGGCCCCTGAAAAATGGGGATGGCTATAAGTAGTAATGAAGCATTTTTTTTTTCTGTACAAATTCTGAAATGGAACCAGGTTTTGGCTCTCTTTATCTGCTAGAAGGAAGCTACAAAGAACCAACCATCCTTGTGGAGGTGGGAAAATTGTCCCCAGGGTGTTGGCTGGACAGGCTCCCAAATCTGCCACCTCTGCTGCTGTCTTCAATGAGGCTTCTCTGACAGCAGCCCAGGGAAGCAGGTGGGTTAGAGGAAAGGCTCCCTCCGTTCAGTTTCCTGTCACTCCCTGCCTGGTCCCCTGGGCATCCCAAGGCCTCACCTGCAACCTGGACTGTGACCTCTGACCCTGTGCCTAACATGGCTGTGGAGGAGAGAGAAAGAAAGGAAAGAAAGGAGGCCCCAGTCACACATGGAAGAAGTCAGTTATTCTCGTCCCTCTAGCTCTCTTGTCAGGTCCTGAGAGCCACAGAACTGGTATGTCTCCAAATCCTAGATGAGCCACAGAACTGGTATGTCTCCAAATCCTGGATGCTTGTGTGGCCCTGTAAACAAGCTGTACATGCTCGTGTGTCTTGCTTGCAAGTCTGAGGCTGGCTTCCCCTTCCAGCTCCACCACTACCTTGTTCTGGAGCTTCATCCTTGAAATGGAATGTTTGCATCATGTAGATACTTACAAAAGGCGGGGAGTAAGTTATCGAGTAGGGATCATTAAGTAGGTTGACTAGATGTCTATAACTCTAACAGCACCCCTAGAATTAGTGAAGACAATGTCACTTTTTCCTGCTTGGGCATTCACCTAAGGTTTTCTTACAGGGTTCTGTTGCCTTCTAGACAAGACACTTGGTGTAGTTTTGTCCTTCCTTGTATACTAAGGGTGGGAATGAATATGCTAAGCACATCAGTGTTCTACATTGAGCTGCACCATTAGCCTTTCTCATTAGCTTCTGGAAACCACCGCTAGGCTGTCTCTGAGTGACCTTCCAAATGCAATATTCTACAATTAGCATGAATCTAAAATAAAAACTCCAACTTGGCCCTTTTCAAAGATCTTACATGATCATTACCTATTAAGCACAAATATTGTTATCACATTACACCTCATACACTTACACAATTAATGGTTCTTTTGTTTGTTTGTTTGTGTTTTGAAATGGGTTCACTATCAGCAGGTGACCTTGAACTTGTGATCCTTCTGCCTCCATCTCTTGAGTGATAGGATGACAGACACATACCATCACACCCAGTCCTAAGACAGTCTTTTTTTTAAAAGAACACACGCTATTTGGGAGGACGAGACGATGAGGTACATAATAATATATTTATGATCCCGCGGATTCTTGTAGGATGTGTTAAGTTTTTGGATCCCAAGCCCCCGCATTTGCTCCACATGAAAAAGGCTCATCTGTTAATTATTCAGCCGCCAGTACAGAGCTGGAGCACAGCTGTATGAAGAAACCACCCTCAAAACACCCTCCGCGTGTACTGGAAGGTTCTTAAAATCGGAACACCCTTCTCTCTTTCATATCGGTAGTTATTTTATGGATCTGGGCTTAGACAGCTTAGCAACAAAGGGCACTGGGTTGCTGAATTATTCATGTAATCTACATTGCCTGGCTGCTGTGGGTAATTGACAGGTGTCATGTCACCTTTTTACAAACGTCCCACAATTATGGACCATATATCAGTGTTTGACTTCACAGCAATGCTTCCT